TTAAAATCCATTGATGATATTTTTTAGTACTATTCCAGCATGTGCGATAGAAGTTTCAATTCATAACTTTTTTATCGAAAATATATACATTAACCAATTGACTCAAATTGGTAATTTATCCGTGATCTATTCTATTAGATTTTGGCTACATTTTCTTTCTAAAAAAGGCAATGAAGGGAAACAATAAATGGAATGGGTCATGTTGGGTTGGGGAATTCACGTGGGCTGTTTAGGGCCATGTCCATATACTTGCGCCTACTCGCTCATTTTGAAGGGATAAATTAATTCATTTAAATTATAACATTTATCAAGGTGGCCTCTATATTATTAAAAGTTTTATAATCGTCTTGTTTTAATTAGAGCTTATATTATATCTCATTATTATTAAGTAATAACAAAAATTACAAATGAGTGTCAACTGGAACATGGTTCAATAGGACATACCACCCTACATGTTAAAATAAAAAAAGGAAAAAATTCATACGTCTTGATAAAATGCCATAATGGATACTCATTAAATATGACCAAATAAATTATTTTGAAATTTTTGTTGAACTAGCCTTTATTTATTTCAACCTACCAAAGGAAACCTAACCCAGCCATCTCCTTTCATTTGCTTAAATTAACAATAAATTCACTAAATAACCCTAACATATTGGCTAATGAATTATTGGAATTTTATTGTACTAACTTCTTAGTTTTTTTTCCCTTTTTAAAGTAACATTTATTGTGTCAATTTAGCCGGCAAACTGGGGGCAAGAGCTTCGCCAATGCCAAGTTGCCAACTCACCATTGTCCTTCTAATTATTCGATCATATCTATTTTATAAATTTCAGAATCAGAACAGCCTGTCCAAATAGTTTTTTCTTACTAGCAATGCTATATTATTGTTTTATTTACATTAACCAATGGTAAATTGTTCACTCACTAATTTTTATTATTGTTAATGAAATGTAATATATATATATGTGGACATTAATTGTTGGACCATATGGGCCAGTTCCATTATGTATTTGGGCCTCACTACGCCATGCGACGGAAGCCTACGATCTGCTTTGGGAGTTGGTAAATATATGGGCTAATGCTATTATCACAGGTGCATTATAGCTATTTTTGGAAAATATACTTTTCTCTTTTAATTGTAATTTTGATTAAAAATTTATTGTTCTTAGTTATATGCCGAACTCCATGTAATCCCATATTTAAGATATTAAAATTCTATTCGTTTCGCAATGAGGTATTGTAAAGTTCTAAAATTTGATCGAATTTAATTGATTAAGATATATATTATTGATAAAAAGTAAGAGGTTTAAATCTCCACCCTATATATTATTTAATATATACATATTATTTTGTTAGGTTATATTTCATTACCTAAAAATAAGTTTCGTAATCACATTTATGTCTAAAATATTTCTAATGGAATCTCAGGACTCGTTTGGTAACGGTCTCATTTCCTATTTCTCGTTTCTTGTTTCTTGTTTTAGGTTTTACGTTTCTATTTTTTTTTAGAACTAACAGCACGAATATGTTTGGTAAACATTTCTGTTTCTTTTTTTTTTTTGAAAAAAAGAAATAGAAACAAAAATATGTTTGATAACTATTTCCTGTTTTTTGTTTCTACTTTTTTTTTACAACAATTTGTAGGGGTGAGATTCGAACCTACCGAAAATTTATACCCTACTCAGGTTAGCTACTTTTTATTTTTAGTTAAATAAAATTTAGTAAATATAATATAAAAAGATATAACATAGACTCGAAGAATGATATTTATTAAAGAAAATATAATTTAGAATATAAATTATTTGATATAAAAGTATCCATTATTAACTTAAATAAAAAATAAAATTTCAAAATATTTTCAAATTTAAAAGTAGGAAATTTTTTGTTTAATAAAATATAATACCTTTTAATAAAGAATAAATTATCAAAATATTTTAAGTTAAAAAATCTAAAACAAATTTATAATTTATTAAAAATATACAATTTATCATTGATATGAAAGTATAAATTATTAGTTTAAATAGAGAATAAAAATTTAAAATAACAAAAATTTTTTGTTTAAGAAAATATAATAGTTTTAAATCAATATAAATTTTGAAAACATATTAGATTAAAAAATGTAAAAATAAAAAATAAAAAAAAATTCCATATGGGGTTTAAACCCTACTTATATGGCAGTGGGTCATATGTGCCACCAAGCCATTGGTGGTATTTTAAAACCTTGAGACAAATATTTTATTGTCTGGACATAAAATAATTAAAGAAACAGAAAGTCAAAAACAAAATTACTTTTCATAATTTTCAAAAATTGATCTATTTTTTAGAAACGTTTCTCAAAATTTAGAAACGAGAAATGTGATTAGTTACCAAAGATGTATGTTTCTAAGAAAAGAGAAACAGAAACAAAAAACAAAAAACGGGTACGTTACCAACGAATCCTCAAAGCCATCATCTAGACGATTGTCGAAGAGGTTTCTTACATCTATCTATTTATTTATTTGAGAAATGACAATAAAATCTAGGAAAATTATGGTGGGAAGCAAAATATTTTATGTATTTCAAAGTATGTCACATGTTTTTAAAATTTTCAAATATAGCAAAAATTTTCACTTATATCAGTATTATATCAGATACTCATATCAATAGTATATCGATAGTATATCAAACACTCATATAAATAGTATATTAAATATATATCACATACATATTACACATACACTTGTATCGGTACATATATCAGTAGTCAAATATATTACAGATATATTACAAATGTATTTAATTTGGATAAAGTTATTATTTTAAAATTGGACTTCCACTTTTTTTTAAACGATATATTTGATAAAACTAAATGAGGTTGCTATTTTGCTAATTTTATCACATGATTTTTACCATATTTTCAACAAATACAGAAGTTAATCTATTTGAAAAAAAAAAAGCTTGGTTAATAACATGTTTTTTCTTTTATATATTTTAAAATTAAGCTTACAACCGTTATTTTTATCATCTATGTATGTCTTTATCTTGTTATCAATATTTATATAATGTTTTCAAAATGTAAGCTAAATTTTGAAAATCCAAAAGAATTAGTTTCCAAAACCTTATTTTAATTTTCAAAATTTGACTAATAATTATAAAGAAATATGAAAAGCATACCAAAGAAATTGTGAGGAAATAAATATAATATTTTTAAAAATATAAAATTAAATTACTTCCAACTAAACCCACTTAACTATAAAATCAATTGTTATTTGTGAATAACGAGAAGATAGTTCTTTCAACTATAGCTATCAACTCCTACCAAATTAGTTTGGGTATTTTTAGAAGTGGTTCATGTTACGTTAATAATTCTCAAGTAATTTTAAATGTCGAAAATTATTTGAAATGATTCATAGCCAAATCATTTAGAGATGATTCTCAAGTGATTTTTGGTAAAAAAAAAAAATAATAATTTTAAAATAGTCATTGTTTTAATTTTCAAATTTATCTTTATATTTCACCTTATTTTTACCTTGAAATTTGAGAAATTTTATCTTTCTTATTTCTAATTTTTTTTTTACTTTCTAACTTTATTTATCATTAGCTTTCGTTTATCCTCTCTAATTACTTTCTCTAAAATCTTTTGTAATATTTCTCTAAATTTTTAGTTCACTGTCTCTTTTCTAAGTTTATTTCTCTATCTAAAATCTTTGTCCCACCCTCTAAAATTTATCGTTTTAAGATTTTTGTTCTTCTCTAACTTTTTTCTCTCGAAAACTGTTGTCAAATTATTTCTTTAAATTTCAAATATTATCATTCAAATCCAGTTTAATTATATAAAGATCACTAAAAAAAGGTGTAATCAAACATTAAAGTAACCATATAAAAATCATTTTCCTAAAATCGATTATCATTAAATCTTTTTTACTAAAATCATTAATTCTATGATATTCCCAAACAAGCTTTTGCTTAGATTGGGGAGCCACTGTGCCAAAAAAAATTTTGACTGCTTTTTGTTAATACTATTCTATATTGCATGATAATATAATTTCTTTTTACCTCTCCACCCGTAGATATCGCCAAAATTGCTTAAAACAATCTCTATACTAAAACAAAAAATGTAAGCATGTGATTATAGCACATACATTTATATATGGTTTAAGCCATGGAATGTGACCCCACAAGGAAAATGCCTTAGATTATGGGACAAAAACACTACGATGCATCCCACTAATATTTTGATAAGCTAGCATAGAAATCACCTAATCCTTGATTAATTAAAATTATGTTGCAACATTAAAATATGCATACATGAGGTTTGCAAATTTTAATATTAGAACAAACTTTACAACACACCCAAGAAGTGTATATGATACTTAGTACTTAACAAATTAGGTCAAGAGCAAATATTCAATCAAGTGTGCAGAAAGTAAAAGCCATAAATTTGGTATCCTTTCAAGATTGCGTATGGCCGAATGGACATTTCCTTTGAGTCATCAATTGGAAAATTATTCTATCATGATTAAAAAAAAAAAATGTATAAACTAAAGTTCGTGATTGCGAAAAGCAAATTTATATAAATCTTAATTTAATAATTTGAGTTTTAGGGGAATGGGGGTGGAGTTGGAAAAACCAGAGGGGACAATGTCCCATTGTTTTTCTTCTCTATCCAAACAGAGAACATGTTACATGGTTTATGTTTTATATTATTTAAACCCCTTTCCAACCAAGCTTTTCAATGTTTGTTACAAACATAGCAAAACTCACGTGACTCGCACGTGCATAACATGACCCTTGAATCCCCTCGCAAAACCTAAAATACCAAAACTACCCCCTCCTCACATGGCCAAAAGAACTAAATCATGCAAACAAAATTTAAAAAAAAAAAAATCAATAATTTAAGGTGATGAAATTGAAGTGATGGGCTCCAATAATTGAAGCCCCCAGCGGCCATCTCCTCATTTCATGCCACTATAATATATATATATATATATAAGTAATGGACGAAGACAAGGCTGTCAGCCCAAACAGTCCCGTCACCCGCAGGTGGACGGTGAGTGCCCAAAAAGCCTTAGCTTTCGCTTCCTGTTCTGCTAAGTGCTAACTTCAACCGCAGCAATCATTTCGTTTCATGCTCCTCCAATCCAACCCAATTTCAGGAATTTATTTTATTTATTGGCTTATTCATTATTTGGGAAAGGCTGGTTAGCACTTGGCCATTATTGTTCCCCCTTTATTATTTGCTTCATTTGGCCACCATTACCAAATGTTTCTTCTCTTCACTTCTCTTCTCTCCGCCTTTATTTTCGCCATTTTGCTATAAATACATCAATACCCTAAAGTTGCACTTATTTTTCCTACTTGAAATATTATATATTTCATATCACTGTACCTGCTGCCGTGTCGTCTGAGATCATGGGCAGGGTTATTATGATATTCATCACTTGATCTTTGCAGTTGGGGGATTGGTGAGGCAGTTGTGGAAATACATGGAGAGGCCTTAAAAGTTAAAAGGGTGTCTGTGAAAATCACAAATTTGAAGCCTTTTTAGTTCATTACTATGATAATGGGGAAGAAGCTGAAGAAAATTGCAAGTGTTTTGGATTGTTTCAGTAGTGCTTCTTCATGTAGCTCTTGTTTTTGCATAAACTCCATGGAAGATCAGCAAGAAGATGAGTTTGATAAAGAACCGCTCATGCCTTTGCCTACCCACAACCAGAAGGAGCAGTCGCTGAGATTGAAGGACCTTGTCAATGGAAACCAAACCTTAGCCTTCCAACTTAAGCCCAAGGTAATTTTATTAATTAATTAATTTCCCTGCCCGTCCTTTTTCTTTCACCGTTTCATAAAGGAAATGCAAACAAAGTTTTAGATTGATTGGGGAAATATAAAATAAAACCGTGGAGATATTTAAGATATTTGAGACCCTGTTCTGCGGTGGGTTTGATTTTGCAGATGGTGATGTTGAGGGTGTCCATGCACTGTAGAGGCTGTGCAAGAAAAGTGGAGAAGCACATTTCAAAGATGGAAGGTAACACATAGCCATCAAATTAACAACTCCCACAAATTAACAAAAAAAATATAATTATGTTGGGATTTTTTTTTTCTTTGAATGATTTACAGGAGTGAGCTCGTACACAATAGACTTGGAGACGAAAATGGTGATTATTATTGGAGACATTCTGCCTTTTGAAGTGGTGGAGAGCGTCTCCAAAGTCAAAAACGCACAGCTCTGGCAATCTTCTCTAGCTTGACCATTATTATTATTTGCATATGAGCAAATAATTAATATTATTTATTGTAACATCAATTAGAAATGTGTACATCGTTCTAAAACAGAGGGATTCGAATTGGCAGAGAATATTTAATATTATATTGTGTGTAATTTCGTGTTTTTAATTTCCATATTTGACCACTTGTGGTGTGAATGTGATTACAACCAACGTGACCTAAGAGATTGAACCACTTAATTTAGGTTAATTGTTGACATTATTGTAAATATTTATCATTTTCTACATGTAGCTATGTCTTTTTTTTTTTAGTAAAATAACATATGAGACGAGGATTTGAATGCACTACTTTCTTTTATCGATAAATACATATATTAACCTGTTGAACTACATTCATGATGATTAATTTATAAAATTAGGTGGCATGTATTTATCTAGTGTGTCCAATTGAAATGACTAATTATAGCCAACTTATCCCTTTAATTTTGAAAGGCTACAAAATCACGGATGTGACCTATTTTAATATCATTTAAATGGAGATATTTCAAATTAAGAATATCTCAACTAGAATATGACAAAAATTTCATGAGTCAATCGCGTGTATTTATGACAAAAATGTAGATTCAAATTTTTATCTTCACACATTGTTGTAATAAAAAGAATGACAAAAATATCGAAAAACCTTTACACGGCCATTTTCTTGCCACACATCGGCTTGAATAACAGAACTTTTAACAAAAGTAAACTCCTCTTTAACCCTTGCCCTATTATCATAAATCATTGATTTATTCATTTTAAACTTGTAATCCATGACTCTATAGTTAAAATGACCAAACATAAGGGTCAATTACACAAAATCACTTGATTGATTTTTTATAACATAAAATATAATTAATACTTGTCCAATGTGAGTATAACTTAATCGATTAAGTCATCCAAAAGATTTGGATTTGAATTTTCATCCGTGCACATGTCGTGATAATATAAATATATATATATGAAAATGACAAAAATGCACCTACTTGTTAATTTATTTTTTTATTTGTTGTTACTAGAACAATTTTATTTTTTTCAAACATGTATCCATGAAAAATCCAATAATTTATCAAAAACTGAATTATGAGCTTGACAAATGAACACGTATAGTCTGGTGCCATATTAAAACTCAAATGGACACATCACTAAACCAATATGTATTGTGGGCCACCTAATTAACCGACCCAATTTGTGCTATAGATGCATGCATATTGCAACAAATAATTAAATCACAAATTTAAAACAAAAATATCCTTAAAAAAATTAACATAAGAAAAAGAGAATAAAATTATGGCATGCGCGTAAACTAGAAAACTAAATAAATGAGAAATAGAAAATTAAAATTGATGAACAAACGCCCATCTAAATATAGTCCAAATTGTTTACGATACTTCGATCCAATGTGAGTTTGAATCTCCACTTGTACTCAAAATTAAAAGAGAAAATTGATAAACAAACTAGGTCGAACCATAGTAATTAACATGAAGATATCAAAGAAATAAGAGAAGAATAAAAAATTATTGGCTCGTCCAATCTGACAATAGCTATTCCGCTATCTCATACCGTTACTATCTCTCGTGTCTCTTTACCCTTTTAGACAAAAAAGACTAGAGTAATAGCACTACTGCAAACTATAAAGGGAAGTCTTGAGCTACCGCTCTTCATTCCAATGATCACAATGAAGAATCCAATAACTCCTCTCAGGACCTACGATCATCGAGATTTGAGAAAGATTTGAAACCGAAGCCCCCTTAGACACCTTTGCTTATAAAAAATGGAAATTGTTGTTTCTAACTTTTTCTTTTCTTTCTTTTTTTTTTATAATTTTCTTCTTTGTTTATAATTTCTCTCCCTCTAAAATATATTTTTTTCCTAACATTTTATCTTTTTTTTTTCTAATTCTCTTTACCATATTTTTTTTATTAAAAAAAAACTAATTAAAATTAATTACTAAGCAAATGATTTCCCATGTGAAGATCTGTATCCCTGGGATAACTCGACCCCAATTTTTATTTTTGGAATTTGGGAACAGCAAGGATGAAGATTAAAAAATTTTGTGGAGTCCGAAGATGGATATGACCTTTTACCATTTACATTATACATAAAATTTTCTCTTTCACTAAATTTCTAACTATTTAATATTTTGAAATCGAGAAACAAAAAAATAATTATCAAACAAATTTGATATTCTATTTTGTAAGGGGAAAAACATAAAACAACCAAACTAAACCAAAAAAAAATAATAAATAAAAAATTGTTATAGTATAGGTTTCCACGATAAGTTCTTGATCAAGTTGAAATTAAAAAGAAAAACGGTCAATCAACGGATCTAAAACTGAAATATTGTTAAAAAAAAAAAATCAACACTGAAAATTTTATAAATACTTAATAATTGACCAACATAAAAAATCACTCAAAACGAGTATGAAAAATTTGTGCTCCATAAAACTGGGCAATATTAAATAATCAAAATGTGGAAGTGTGGTAAATGTGTAATTTGCACCTTAATTTCATTGACTTTCACAAAATATCCGTTGGAAATTCTCGACGTAAACGGTCATGCCACGACGTCGTTTAACTGGTCAAAGTTATTCGTCGTCGTCAGGATTTCGTCCTTGGACGATAACAGTTCCGTATCTATCACGATAACTCGAACGAGGAAGCAGAAAGAAAGAAAAGAAATATCAGAGATTTGCGAAATCAGAAACATTTGATTCACAGGACGGGAGAAGAAATTCACCATGAAATCCATCTTCATTCTCTTTATCTTCTCGGCTCTCGTTTCTCTTTCGACCCAAACCACTGACTCCAAAGACCTCAAAATTCCACCGTCCTCTGCCCACGCTCGGCTCGCCAATTATGGATTTCCGTTCGGTCTTCTTCCATCCTCCGTCGTGAGCTACACTATCAACGACACCTCCGGAGACTTCTCTCTGGACCTCGGTGACTCGTGCAAGTTCACGCTCCCGCCAGACAACTACGTGGCTTCGTTTTCTAGGGTTGTCACCGGTAAGATTGCCAAGGGTCGGATCCACAGTCTCGACGGGATTCGAGTTCGCGCTTTGTTCCAGTGGTGGTCGATCACCGGTATTAGGTCTTCCGGCGATGATTTGGTCTTCGAGGTTGGGTTAATCACCGCCAAGTATCCGTCCAAGAGTTTCAACGAGAGCCCAGCATGTGAAGGTCGTCGCTCTGCTTCGTAAGAGGTTCGGGTTTCTTCAATTTGCTGTTCTTCTGCTTCTCTTACGGCTAATTCTACTGTTCGATTTCAAATATTAGCAGTAGTTTGGGGTTGCATAGGTGCAAGTAAAGTAGACTTTTCACCTAACTTCAAAATTAAAATCGCTCTGTTATTGTTGCGTTGAAAGTAATGTTTCAGTCGTATGAATTATATTCTGTAGGAAGAGAATGCTTTAGTTTGAATTAACTATCGTCTTCCTTTTATGTGGTATGCATTCGAGTTATCTTCTACATCCATGAATTTCGAACAGAATCTGTATATTTCTTCCACATTGATAACGTGCCCAATCGAAGGCCCTCTTGATTATCCCCTGACTAATTTGAACGCAGAAATGTAAATGTGAAATATGGAATATTTTCCGTTTCATGAAAGCATAATTAAAACTCTCGGTGTTAATTAATAATACAAGAAAATCCTAGTTTCCTGACGTTCTAGAATGAAAAACTTTCTATAAATCGTGTAAGATCTGGTGGATCAATTTGCAAATCTATTGATTGTTGGTATCTGGCTAGTTTTAGCAATAGTTTTGGCAATAGTCCAAAGACCCTCAAAAGCAACCGGTTGTCTTTGTTAAATCGGCCTCATTGGATGAATGGGAACTTTATCTATTTTTGGATTTAACAATTGGGCGTTCTAAAGTGGGAAAGGTGTGGAGTTGCAATCTGGAATTTACAACAAGTGTGCTAGGGAGGTAGTTCAATAAGAACAGAAGCCATTGGGGACAACTATAAAATGACAAAACCCGTATTATTAAAAGATTTTTTAAGAACTGTACTGGTGTTTTTAGCTAAATTAGTTGCACGTTAGAAAAAAAAAACCAAACCCAGAAGGCTAGCAAAATCCTTTTTTGACAATGTGGTGTTTATCATTAAGAAGAGTACCATGTCACCTGTAAATTTCAGACGATGATTTTGCTAGTAAGCTGAAAGAATCAAGGATCTAGGGACATAGAACAAATAGAAAGATCATTCTTAATCTTAACATAAGAAAAAAGGGAGGGAGAGAGAGTGAGAGATCAAATAGGAAGTCGAGATTTGAATTTTTGACCCTGCAAAACATAAAATTTAGAAGTACCATTTAATAACTTTTCTGTAGTTAGTATGATTCTCGACTTTTAAGCTACTATTTGCAAGGATTCCATTTTATTTCTTTTTCATTTTTGAAAAATCAAATCATTCCGAAAAGTTGGAAGTTTTGATAATACATTATTCATGATGTTTCATTTACATGCTACTGTCTTACAATCGTAAGATCAAATTCAAATGTCAAGGACTCAAGTCCGTTGCTATTGACAATATCGTTTTCCTTCGTTGTCTTAAAGGGAATCATATAAATTGTTATGGTGATTTTCTTGGGTCCATATCAACCATCTAAAATTTTCAATTTTCAAGATTGAAGTACAAATTCATTCTGGAAGCTGGACCAGGCAGGGTAAGATGTAGATTCTTCTTCACATATATAGGACCAGGCTGGGTAAGATGTAGATTCTTCATATATAAAGTGGAAGGAAGCAACAAACTACATCTCATATTATATTAGTTGGTTACCACAAAAACTTCCAACTCTATATATATCCTTTTTAGGTCTCCTCTCTCTATCATCTCTGTCCCTAATCACAAGATCTTTGTTTGATGAAAGAAAACGAGAGGGTGTGAATAGTTTTAATTTTCTTACATTTTGGACATATAACATGTATTTTATCTGAGTCCTTGGTCATCACCAGGATCTAGAAAAGTTTCCTTGCAACTCCCAACATACCTTTTACTAAGAATCTTTTAGCTGGAGCCGTCTTTCTTAATGTGTTTGGCAGGCAATGCTGCGATCTGAAGCTATCTCTTCATCATTACTTATAAAGAAACAAGTGAATTCTCATTTGTCTGGCTTTCAATTTCTATGCAAAAAAGAAAAGTAGATTCCCCAACTTTGTTTCTTTTTCTTTTAAATATTTAATAGCTTGACTTCATAAGGTGCAGAATATATAATATCTTGTACTTACCAAGATCAAATTGGATCAAATCTACTATTTAATTGGTATTCTGTTTCTGCTGCAGGCATTCATTCATCTTCAAGCATAGATGAACCCAGTGCATAATCCATATCATGTTATCATCGATGTTTCGGGGTATTGTTACTTTAGAAACGAAATGTGAAGCTTGTGTATATGGTGGCGTATCAGCCCCAGCCTGTTGTATGTATGTTCTAATTCTGCGTATTTTAACTCTTGCTGCTTCTAGTTCTGGATTAATACACTATTTTAATAATGTTTGTTTAGTACATGACCATGAGCTGACATATATTTCTGTAATTTTATTCCCTCTAACTTTTCTTTTTCATTTTTGTTGGTTGTGTTTGTGGCCTGTGGGGGAATCTGGGGTGAACGACTTTGAAATTCTGGTGTCGGTTGTCTTGTCTTTTCAGCAGCTTCTTTTACATAATGATGCCTCCGAGTGAAATTTAAAGGGCAAATTGTTGATTTAAATAATAAAGTCAAACCTCTCTCTTGGAGGGCTATTATTGCTGTTTCAAAGTGAAAAAACTATAGTTCAATTTACATTAAAATTTTAAGGGTTATTTATTTATGTAGGGTGGGAGGACAGTACTGCTGGATAAGATATTTCTCTGAAGAGAATTATTTTCTTATATTTTGAGGAAAACTCACTAATCATCTCAATTATTTTATCATACTTTTAGGAGGGATTTTAATCTGTAATGATAACTTCATTTTAAAATATTCTTACTCAAAAAACTTCGTCTTTAAATATTTGATTTTCTAAATTGATTATACATATCGTTTTAAATAAATAATTATAAATTTCAACATGAGGGGTGGACATTCGAACTCAATATCTTTTGATCAAGGATAGGTGTCTTGCTTAAGTTGACAATCGTTTATGAAGTTTAATGATGATAATCAATACTTTCATTTTATGATAGCCTATGTTTTTAGTTCAATGAGAAAGTTGGAGAATTTGAAACTTGACAATTGAACTATGTTCATGTTGGAATTTTACGAAAATAAAATATTAATTTATATAAATTAATGATTGATCTAGATATTGGAGAATTAGTTTATTGTCATTTAAGATTCATGATTTTTTTTCTTCTTTTTTAGTATAATATGTAGGGGCGTGAGATTGAACTCACAACCTCCTTGTTGGAGATATGTGTCAAAACCGCTGAACTATCCTCGTTTTGGCTATAAGATTCATGATTTAAACTTCGTTCCATCTCACCTCATTCTTTTATGGTCTTAACTCAGACCAAGCCTAACTTTGCAAATACTCACTAAATAATTTACTATTTACGGCCCCCAAAACCCCCAAAAAAAAAATCAGAAAATGTTAAAATTATTTGGACAGATTGGTGGACATTTTTTCTTTCAAGCGACACCATCAACCTTAAACTTGACGGAAGAAATATTATGTTTAGTTAATGTACCCCGCTGATGCGCTAGAACTTCCAAACACTCGACATGTCGACATGCACTTTCTTGTATGGCCAAAACTTTTCTGGACCAAAACCAAGAAGTGGAGAACCTCACCTCACAGCCTCTCACACACACACACAATCACCAATATTTTTCCCAAAAGCAATCAATAATCCAACATTTGTCACAAACTTGCTCCACATTTTCATTTCCCAAGAACCCACAAGGCTCTAATTTAATGAAACCAAGAAAGCCATTCATATGGCTTACACAGTCACAGCAGCGAGTGGAGGCTCAGGCTCAGGCTCCCCTGCCTTGTAGTCTGTTCCCACCCCTCGCATGCCCCTTCTTTTCACCACACTCTTCTCATTACCCAATCAAATCTCTTCTTTATTCCTCCCTATGGCTCTAATCTTTTTCTTTAGCATCGTTTCCCAAAAAGAAACCCATAATTACATGTCACACTCTTATTTGATTACCCTTCTTGTCTACTTTCACGAGTTTTATCAATCAATCATGCCCCCACCCCCACACCCACCCCCTTTTCCTTTATTTCAACTAAAATTATCTTCCCTTTTCACCACCTTTAATTCTGTTCACCTAACTTAATTCAACCCCACGTTAATTATAAGACAAAACTCCAACTGGGTTCATTTTATTTGGTCCAATCCAAGACTGAAAAGGCCTCAAATTCTCCAACTCTAACACGCTAGTCAAGCCGTCGTTAAAGTGGGGATTTTGATTCTTCTGCCCACGGATTTGTCCAAGTTCGTTCACACTTAAGTTAACCAATAAGGCAAGGAAGACGGTTACAGAGAATACACCCCAAAAAGGTGCAATTTTTGCGCACCCAAGGAAAAGTCTCTGGGATCATCAGATTGTCTTTTTACAGGTGCCTCTTTTTTGACCTCCAATTGGGTTTTTTTTTTTTTAATTTCCTTTTCTTTATTTTATTCTTCTGGCACGCGTCATTAACTGCGAAACCGAGTCTTCTTCAATTCTTTTTTATGGTAAATTCGGTCGACGTGATTAAAGAAATTTTTTTAACTTAATTAATGATTACAATAATGTCATGATTAGAGTCCGAGATTCCGAAGTCATCAGATCGGACGGCTGGGATTTGATCACGTGGTGGAGCTGATGATGAGACTTGTATTTTGTCTTTCACGTTGGGTTTCCAACAAACTTGATAAAGCGAAAATATATAATAATAATAATAATAAACAGAATTAAAATAACGTTTACTGAGGAGAAATCACGCGCCGGAAATTGCGAGTGGGTTTCACTCCCCAATCTGAATTCAACGCAGTGGTTTGTGTACTTTATCTGCTCGTTATAGCGGGAAATGGATCCTAGAAGAAGGCGGATTTCTCACGCGCGTCTTTCGTACGTGATTTGCACTCTCTGTCCCTAGTCCCATAACGTGAACATCTCGTACAAGCTTTTCTCTCCCTAAGCCAACTAACACATACGAAGACTCTCTCTCTCTCTCATCTTCCTCTCTCTATCTCTCCCTCTGCTCCATGCTCGCGCAGAACAAATTATTCGGTTTCGGCGCATCGAAGCCCTAGATTCGTCCCCATTCTTCGCCGGTACGTCCCGAATATTTCTCTTTTGTTTTCATCGTTTCTTGCAAACGATTTCCTTGGCTCTTTGGGGCTGTTCTGCGGCAGATCCGTTGTTTTTCGAGCTTCCTTCTCGGTGTTCTTCTTCTTCTTCTTCTTTTCTTTTTTTCTTTTCAAATTATGTATCCGTATTGTATCAGTATTCCGTAACGTTAGTTCTTCTTTTTAATTCTGTATAATCAGTATCTAACTTGTTGGGCTTTTATTTGTTTCCTCTAGATTCGCACAATGTGTTTGCTAAATTTCAGAAGCGTTATTTTCAACTTTCTTTTGCTGCTTGCGCCTTCCGTGTTCTCTTTCCTGTATTGTTTTGACTATCGTGTATAAAGTCGTGGAGAATGTTTGATGAAGGTAATGTCATGGTAATTCAACAGTGTTTTTTTTTGGTGAGGATGACGGAAAAAGATTATTTTGTGCGTGGAAAATATTTTTACATCTTATATATATATATATATATATATATATTATGTATATGTATATATATTTTCTGGGAACTTTGGAAACGTTGGCTCTGTACCGCTGAAATCAATAATTTCAATGTTTGTCGATCAATTTCGGGAAAATCACAAGCTACATTTGGGAGGGTAAAATGTTAAGCAAAAAGATGGAGTCGTGGCGATTTTCCTCCTGCACACGCATAAAGAAAAAGTCTATCTGCTAGCTTTTTTTTTTCCCTGGACTTTTTGAAGATTAGCTTCCATTTCTTTGTTGTAATGAAGATCTCATGAGTTTAGTTTCATGCTCTCAAGGCACATACACACAAGAACAACCAAATAGGAAATTTTTTATATCTCTACTCCTGGGATGGGCAAACTTTTAACTTCTTACTCTGGAAAATTCAGTATGTTTTGACGTATAATATGCAATTTAGTACTATGTTAATTTGTCCCCTTTTTATTCCCTCAATTCCTTTTCACTGGATGTTGAAGGCAAGGAATCTTTTGCCTTGCGAATTTGGTAAGAGGGTTATGAATTTTTTTAATCGTGCATTATCCGTCTTTTATCAGTTCTGTTATATGAATTCATCTTTTCCTCTTTAAACCTTGACAGAAATAAATTGGACTTACGCTGACTTGATCATGTATAATATAGTACTTAATAGCTGGTGGGTCTACATTTCCGCAATGTGTTCTTGGTTTGGAAGTAGGAAAATGACAAATAGATAAATTATATTTCAAGTATAGTAAGTCATGCTGTATTATTGCCAAGGGTAACTTGTTTATACTTTTCTATCCAGTTTTTGTGTTCAAAGTCCTGATGTGTAGAGAAGCAGAGAAAATGAGCTTTTAGGTGATGCTTGAACAGGTCAAAAACTTCTCTGTAGTTTCCTGAACCTCGGTTGGAACTTGGAATGATGTATTTGTTCTACATTCTGATCATGTCTTAACAAGGAGAAGCCGGACTTGATCATTCTTTTATTTAATGTCTGAACTTCCAAAGGTGACTAGTAGAATGGTTAAGAAACTGGAAATGAAGAAAACTTCATCCAGTTCAAATAATCGATCTGCTAGTAGGAAGCAACCCAGGAAGACAGAAAACCCAACTCGAGTACCAGCAACTCCTGAGCAATCTCTAGATTCTGGAATTTCGAGTACATGGGTATGCAAAAATTCTGCTTGTAGAGCTGTTTTGTCAATAGAGGATACATTTTGCAAGAGGTGCTCTTGTTGTATCTGTCACTTATTTGATGACAACAAGGACCCTAGTCTCTGGCTGGTGTGCTCTACTGAATCTGAACAGGGAGATTTCTGCGGATTATCTTGCCATATTGAGTGTGCCTTACAGCGTGAGAAGGTGGGGGTTGTTGATCTTGGACAACTAATGCAGCTAGATGGTAGTTACTGCTGTGCCTCTTGTGGCAAAGTTTCTGGGATACTTGAGTAAGTAATTTTCTCCCCCAATGTTTCCTTTAATCGTCATTTTGCATAATTTTGGGTTCTCAGGACACAAAGAGGTATTGTTGCAAGGTTTTTATTTATTCCAGTTATCCTCTTTTAGCTACGGCCTGATCGGATTGTGAAATTCAAAACTGGCAGATGCTGGAAGAAGCAGCTAGCTATAGCAAGAGATGCACGCCGTGTTGATGTTCTCTGTTATAGGATTTATTTAAGTTACAGGCTTCTTGAAAGGACTTCAAGGTTTAAGGAACTGCACGAAATTATTCAAGATGCAAAGACCAAGCTGGAAACAGAAGTGGGTCCTGTAAATGGTATTTCTGCCAAGATGGCTCGCGGAATTGTCTGTAGGCTCACTAATGCTGGTGATGTGCAGAAGCTTTGCTCTCTCGCGATCGAAAAAGCAGATCAATGGTTGGCTACAGTATCTAATACAAATCTGAATTGCCGAGGTTTAGTCCATGACCATATGTTACTTGCCGTCCAACTATTCTAAATAAATCTCTTAAGCTTTTATGTTGTTTATTTCTTTTCCCATAACTTCATTTTTTTACAGAAGATTCACTTCCGGCTGCTTGCAAGTTTATTTTTGAGGGCATCAAATCTTCTTCTATTGTGATAACTTTAATTGAAATTTCAAATGCATCATCTAAGGACACTAAAGGCTACAAGCTTTGGTATCGTAAGAGTAGAGAAGAAGAGGCATACTCAGAAGAACCTATTTGTGTATTTCCTAGATCTCAGAGAAGGATTTTGATATCCAATCTACTACCGTGCACTGAATACACATTCAGAATTATTTCATATTCAGAGACTGGCGACGTTGGTCACTCTGAGGCCAAGTGTTTTACAAAGAGTGTAGAAATAATTCACAACTCCTCCCATTCTCCCACTCCTCCAAATCACAGGAAAGAAATTCCCATTATCGAAGAAAGCTGTATCCACAAGAGGGGTCCAGATAATACAACCATTATCAGTTCATCTTCAGGATTTCAAGTACGAGAACTTGGAAAGATTCTGCAACTTGCTTGGACTCAAGGAGAAGGCTGCCTCGAGAGGCTTTGCAGTGCTGATGTAAAAAATTGTTGTGGAGTGATGAAGGGGGTCAAGCCTGAATCCCCGGAAGAAGAAGAGCAGCTGCCTCCTGTTTCTCGTGAACTTGATTTAAATGTGGTTTCAGTGCCTGATCTGAATGAAGAACTAACTCCTCCATTTGAGTGTTCTAGGGATGAAGGTAATGACTGCACTCTGCAGCAGGCTGTTGAGGCAGATGAAGATGCTGCTTCCCATGACATGGAGAAAAATGGCTTGGCTAGATCACACGGTAGCGGTGACGATTCTCAGATCTGGACTTGTGGCCCAAATGGAGAGGTGCCGGCTGTTGATTCCCTCACAGGGTTATGTAGGAAAAGGGCAGCAAGCACACACGAAGAACCGAATGATTGTGACAGCACTTTGATAAATGGATCCCCACTCCGAGTATCCAATGGTTCATGTTTCTTGGACGAGAACTTCGAGTATTGTGTAAAGATAATTCGATGGCTGGAATGTGAAGGTCACATCAAACAGGAATTTAGATTGAAACTTCTAACATGGTTTAGCTTGAGATCAACAGAGCAAGAACGCAGGGTAGTCAACACCTTCATCCAAACACTGATTGATGAACCTAGTTGCTTGGCTGGACAGTTAGTGGACTCCTTTTCTGATATCATATCCTGCAAGAAGCCACGAAATGGGTTCTGCAGTAAGCTCTGGCATTAGATTAGCATACTCACATGCAGAAATCGCCGTTAACTCAGTACTTATCTTACATTTTCTATGCTATTCTCCTCTAATTGGTCTGGCATTATTTGTACAGGCATTTTTCCTTGATCACCGTCATCAAGTGATCTATTTATACCTCGGACAACAATGTCATCCGGGTCAAAGAAATTGAATGCTGATTCTGATTGCAGAGACAGATTACTCAATTTTTCTTAGAATGTAACAAATTGTTGGTGGCCGGTACCTTGTAGGGAGCATGGAATATTTCTCAAGTGCTTGGTGTCGGTGAGGATAATTTGTAATATCTATCATATTGACATTGCCTTCTTCCAATTCAAAGAAGGCAACTGAAATTATTCTTGAATTTTCCATGATTAATGTCATCTTGTTTGGTACAATAGTGTAGTTGGCCTGGTAAATTAATGAAACTTCTCTTGGTTGGTTTATGAGGGAGAATGATGGAGAATTTAGCAGCAGCTAGTTAAGCATATTTTTAGTATGCAGTAGAGCGTTTCAGCAACTTATTTTTCTTGTAATAGAAAACTATACAACATACGACATATTTGCTTAGACAATGCCCATCTAAGCATTTCTAAAGGTAAAAAATTGGTTGACCTTCTCATTTCAATCCCAGCGTGTGAAAGAAAGTGCAAAAAGTTTGCTGCTAACAAATAGAGACAGAAAGGATAAGGAAGGACTGTTTAAAGAGTAAAATATAGAAAGGAAATTGTCTGGATCGAACGTATCAAATTATGGTGTATGTAAGTCGACAAGGACAAATCAACAATTTTGAAACTTTCTAGGGATAAATACTCAGAATTAGAAATAATTATTTTAATCAGAAACATACGTAAATTACATACTTGTTATGTGTATAATTGGAGAAAGGTACTTTAGTCAATTGTTCAATTGTAATGGATAAATCTACTATTTTATGGAGAAATTTAGGGAGGTCTAATTTTATGAGTAAAGTAATATTTAGATATTATTAATAAAACCATGTTAAAAAAAAAGTTCATCTTATACCACTTCATAATTATTTTTTTGCTTTTTTTATTATTATTTTCTTAACTAATCTGACAATACTGATTAAGATATATATTGAATCTCACCCTACATGTTATTTGAAGTTGAACTTAAAAAAAAAACATTTTTTTAATTATAAAACAAAACTTTTTTTTTCAACTCTTTCGTAAAGAGTGTTTAAATAGAGTTATTTAGAGAACAAATAATTGGAAAATAATTAAAATTCACTGTCCAGTTCCAAGACCATGTTTTTTTTATAATAATTATGTATAAGTGTGTGTGTGTTTTTTTTTTTGTAAAAATGTGTATTTTTTGTTTGTTACAATTTCATAGTTTTAAATATTTTATTTTTTTACAAAGGTAATAACTCAAAAGGTTCCTGTTGGTCACAACTTATTAATTACGGTATATTTATGTGTGTTATTTCCTTAAACCTCGATAAAAAGTTTAAAATTTTATGAAGAAAACATAGTCGGAATCAAACCAAACTTATATTATATTAAAAAAAAAAAAGTTAGTGATATTTTTAAAAAATACATCAAATTTAAGCTATATAATTAAAACAATAATAAATTCATCAAATAATGACATGGCTACACGTGGAACAATGGCAGCCGGGTACCAGCGGAAAGACGGAAAACAAAAAATCATCACAAATTCGCAAAATAATTAATAAATAAATTACTGTCAAAGTTTGGAAAGCAACGAAACGACGACGTCGCAGCGAAATCGGGTGGATTAGGAACAAGATTACATGGCAACCGCAAGAGCGGAGCAGGAAGTTCACTCGCAATTGTATCAGCCACACTGAGACCACTTTCCGACTTCCATTCGCTCTAAAAATGCTTCTTCATTCTCCGTCTTCACCATGTCTCTCATTCAAGATTATTAAGGCACAATCAAAACCAGGTAAGTTTCTATGCGCTGTTTTTGCTAAATTCAGTCCATATGCTCAATAATTTTCTCTCTCCCTGACTTTCGTACTCTGTTCATCAGATAATGTTCTTCTCCTTCCGGATTTGAAGTCTTTGGTTCGTAACCAAAGAACTGAAAGGTCGATTTCCGTGTCACGTGGAAGGTCCATTCCGAGCTCAGTTACTAGAAATGCTGCTTCTGTCGAAGGTGAGTTTCAGCTTATTGCTTCTTTTTTTGTTAAATTCACCGGTAAAAGCGCGAAACCTCTATTTATTAGCGTATATAGGATTGTTGAGTTTTGTAATCTTCTGCCAGACGCAAATTTCTGTTAAATTGAATTTGTTTATTTCATTATGGTTTTGGAATCCCGAGACAATCTATTTGATTAGTTGGCAATTTTGTTTTTCGCGGCGAAATTGTCATTAATTTATCTTTACGATTTTTAAGTTGACAAATTTTAAGTTTTTCATAATAAATTATTGTATTGTGAATAGGATGCATAACTTCTGAAGTCTATGGAAGTACTTCATTAAATTCTGTCATTTTACATTTTGTAATATGGTCGCTATTGCTTCTCTAAATACAGATATATACTGATCATTAACAACTTTGTAACTTATAATGTACGAACCTACAAGTTGTGACTCACAACTTCGGAGTATAGATTTTCATTTAAATGATCATTCCTTATTGCTTCAGAATTAACTTCTAAATAGGCCTATGTTGAATTAAGAAAAAAATAAGTTTCCAGATTTAAAAGAAAAAAATGTATTCGTGGAAGGTTGAAGACGTAACTAATAAAAGAGTAAATATTAAGTGATTCAGTTGTCAAGGTTTAATTTTGAATTTAGGCTAAGAAAAGGAAACTTGGTCATCACTTTACGTTTTAACTTGATTAGAGATTTCTCAAGGGTGAAAGAACGAGGTACTCTAAATTTGATGAGGAATCAGTCAATATCATTGTAGTATACTTTACATGTGAGACTTTAGCAAAAACTGAGAATCCAAGAAGCATACCTTTCACACTATGAAGTCCAGTTTATTAGCTATGCATTCATGCTTATATCCTGAAAAAGGATTTTATATTTCATTTTTGTATGTTACCAACGCAAAGAAGTTGTCACATCAGTCCCCAGACTATCAAGTTAGTACGACGATAGGTTATTTTAGCATCAAAGCATTTCTGTAAAAGAAAAATTTTGTTATCATTTTACCTAATATTAACCATTCACTGGAATAGGTGTTTCATCAATCATATTATGACCAAATTACATCTTCTGTTTTCTGTAAATTGTAGCTGGTGCTTCTGTGATGTCCATTGAGACGGCTGAGGCTGATGTATTAAAAGCCTTATCACAAATTATTGACCCAGATTTTGGAACAGATATTGTCTCATGTGGTTTCGTGAAAGATCTTCACATTGATGAGGCTTTAGGAGAGGTTTATTGAGAACGTGAAATTGATGAATTGATTGTTGTTTTCTGTGATGTCCCCTTGTTACTAATTAAACTAGATGCTTTTGGATCACAGGTTTCTTTCCGGTTAGAGCTCACTACACCGGCATGTCCAGTCAAGGACATGGTAAATGACCCAATCACGTTGAACTGACATATGTTTGGAAGGGTAGACTTTTTGTTTTTTACCACACGTTTCTTAGAAGTGGAACTGTGTTTTTGTCTTGCACCATGGTTCTTTCCATGATTTTTGTCTGCAGGTGCGCTGCAGCAATCTCATAGTTGATATATATTTTTGTTCATTTATTATAAACTTCACAGTTCCTTCAAAAAAATTTATCTGAAGCCCTAATGAATATCCATTGCTTGAATGTCATAATTGATAAGGTAATAACATACACAATACATTGCATGACAGTTTGAACAGAGGGCTAATGAGGTAGTAGCAGCACTTCCTTGGGTTAAAAATGTGAAAGTGACGATGTCGGCACAACCAGCAAAGCCTATTTATTCTGGGGAACTTCCACCTGGGTTGCAGAGAATTTCAAACATCGTGGCAGTTTCTAGTTGCAAGGTAGGCTACTCATTTCATATTTTTTAAGCTAACTTACTTGATATGAATATCTATCTAAGTGTAAATCATTAACTTCCAAGATTGACTCCTTTTCCGGAAAAAGTTTGTTTCATAATTTCTTTAAATTCTTTGATGTTATATCTAAAAACATTATGAAACACTGTCATCTATTGTCTTTTTCATTGAGGAAAAAAATGCTACTGATTTGGAGTCCTTTTCAGGAATTTTTAATGTTCTCTTTTTTTATTTTTTTCGTGTTAAAAGAGATAGCTAACCATGTATGCAGGGAGGTGTAGGGAAATCAACTGTTGCTGTAAATCTGGCGTATACTTTGGCTGGTATGGGTGCTAGAGTTGGTATTTTTGATGCTGATGTTTATGGACCAAGTTTGCCCACTATGGTTTCCCCTGAAAACAGACTGCTAGAAATGGTAACCATTCAACGTTTCAATTTAAATTTTCTTCCAGTTAGTGATGGTAGATTATGATTGTCTAAAATTTCTACAGAACCCTGAGACGAGAAGCATTCTTCCAACTGAATACTTGGGAGTCAAGTTGGTATCTTTTGGATTTGCAGGACAAGGTCGTGCCATAATGCGAGGTCCAATGGTTTCTGGTGTCATTAACCAGCTACTGACCACTGCTGAATGGTTTGTGCTCTTGGTAAACTAATTAGAAGTCAGGGATATATTAGTAAAGGAAACATATTTATACCGTATGTATTAAACTACCACTAAATTTCTGAACTAGAGTATATTTAATCATCTAATATATTTTCATCACATTTCTCTTTCCGTCACAAACAAATTCTCCTAAGATTAACGGAAAAAGAAATAAAGCAAGACCAGTTTCAAGGCCAAAAAAAAAAAATAGACAGACATGTTCTGCATGTTTCCTCTCATGTCCAAACAAGTACATTTTTTAAAGTTCAAACTACCGAGAAATGATATTCAAATGTACAAACTTATAAAAGTATTTAAGTCTTCCCCTTTCGGTTTAGCTTAATTATTAGATGGTTTCGTAGAATCCAATATATTGCGTTTTGAACTAATCTATTGGGTACGTTTCATATACCAGTTTATTCTTTTGAAGGTTATAATCAATTTCTTCCTCCTTTAACCAGATAAACGAGATGGTCTGATTGAACCTAAAATATTGAGTTTTTAAACTGTTCTAATAGGCACATTTAAAATACTGGTGACCTATTTAGAATGTTTTAATCAGTTTATTCCCCTCTCCGTAACCAAATAAGGAATAGAGAGATAACTAGTAGACTCTTTTTTGCAAACCAGGTTTTAGGAGCGTACTTCTATTATTTTTCCATCTGCTTGCAGTTGCCATGACTATGAAACAACACACAAGAATTTGATTTATTTTAACCTTATTTTAATCGAACAAGCGGCTATCTATTAACAGTGTACGAATATGTAACCATCATCTAATCCTAATCAGCTATAAATAATGTAGGGGTGAACTGGATTACCT